GGGAAGGTGAGGGCCATATGTTAGAAAACTTGTGTAAAGTTAATATGTTGGCCTCATTAAATAAAGATGTACGAGTACGAGTGTGCATTTTAACATTTTCGGATTGTCGGCTGTTAATTGTAACTTTTAAGTACGGCTATTACACCTCTGTCTGATACTTACTACGAAATTAACTGTTGACCCCCTCCCCTTCCTCGCCCAACCTTTCATTAATAATTCACACTTTTGCAATGGAGCAATTTCTACGGTACATCTCGACAAAAAGCCAGATATTACAGTCGACAGCTGCAAGAGATTACATATCAAATGTAAGCAGAAAACCTCAGATAAGTGATTTCTATGTACGTGTCAGTTTTTAAACCATTTTCATTTTCCTTCTGCTGAGAGGAGACCGATATATCACCTGTTTCAGTATTCGTTTTTCGGTGAACCAGTATCTATCTCAAGCTTAACAATTAACAAGTCCAATATTTTGGTAGCCGTAAATCTTTGATACATTTTAAACTTTGTGGACTAAACAAACAACATGCTAAATGAATGTCAAAGTTGACCGCTGAAAAATATTGCAGGCGCGATCCTTTTGATTTACATCAGCTTTCAGGACATCAAATCATCTTTTTGCCACTAAGTTCGACTACATGCACCCTTGATGTTCATCATCAACTGCTGCGTTTCTTCGAGAATAATTGAAATATGGCTACGAAAAAAGTTCTCAAAAAGGGCTCAACTTGCGCTATTCAAAGATTCTGTCCTCGTTCATGTTTAAACGATACTCTGGGAAATTTCTTGTAAATTTCAAGTTATTTTAAGTTAATAAGACAAAGATGTAGTTTACGGAACTTTGATGATACAGACTAAAAAGCGTGAGGTAGATGCAAATTTCACGTCAGCAAAGGTTATGAAATCAGTTGCACCAAAATTTTATTACTGATTTTGGACGTCCAGTGATGGCTTTCACTGCCCACGGAGGAATAATGATCAGAACTAATTTGTCATCGGAGATATTGGGCCCTCAATTAACTTTATTTTTGGACTTTGTTAAAATCAGAAAAAGCCATCTTTAGTAAAGGGAGAGGTAAGGGAAGAAATGAAATGAAAAAGTTAACACAATTCAATTTCCTTGAGGTCTGATGGATATAGAACACAACCCAGTTGATTGAATTTGCAGATGGCTTTTCCGTTTGACACAGCAGCAATGCAAAGCTAGGTAGCTAATTATGCAAAAAAAGCAGAACAGGGAGGTTTCCCAGGGGGACCCTATATCTCCCAGGGAATTAAATATGTTGATTTATTATTTTCACACATTTATTAACTCAAGATACTCAGCATTTGTGCCAAGTTTAAGCCAAATCGGTGAGTTGAGGTTTATCGGCCCATGCCCGATTTTCTCGTGGACACGCTCTTCATCTGTGACGTTCCTTGACCCTCCTCTAGGGAGCCGGTCACCTTACACATACTCTTGGCTTACCTGGGATGTCTGATACATCTGTAATTGAATCAGGATCAACATTTTTGCCAAAGCGCCCCTTTCTGGCAGCTTCTTGAAGCATAGTTGTTAATGCCTCTTGCCCCATGGGTTTTTCGAATGAGAGATGAATATATATGATAATGCTTCCTGGCCTGTGGAGGAGAAGCCAGAAAGTGGTAATCAGAATCACGCCAGTGCAGGACATGAAGAACCCACTCTTGTATTTAAAAGACAAAATAAAAATATTAGTTCAGAAAGATACGGTATGTAAACTGTTAACACATTTCAGGAAATTCGTCAAGGTTGAGGTTCAAAGATATGGTGTTACATTCCTGCCAAAATTCAAGTTCTATTATCAACATACAAATGTTATCTCAACAATTAATTTTAAATATGAAGCGATTTTCAGGTTACTGTCAACAAAATAGGGTGCCTTCCGGAAAAATGGTCCTACGCTCGCTTCTTTCAATGTAACCACATATATCAATGGAAAGCCTATAAAAATATAGATTATTTAACAATGGTTCATGCTGTAGCGTGCACTATCGAGTTATGGAGTACGCGGGAAGTTTGGAGAGCATGAAAGAAGCGTAAGAGTTGCCCGTGGCGATAGCCGAGGGCAACTCTAGCTTCTTGAGTGCTCTCCAAACTTCCCACGTGCTCCATAACTCGACAGTGCACAGCTGAAAGCATGAACCAATTGTATTAGAACACAGCCGGTGGATTTGTGCATCAAATCCGACGCGAAAAACGGACAACAATATCAGTTGCAGCGAATGGTGACGGCGCTGATGTCGAGTCTCCTTTTCCGTTGTTTTTCTCTTTTTCTGCCTCATTTAAGAACTCTAGCCCAAGGGAAAAGGTCGAAACATTGTCTTCGTATTCGGACTTGTAGGCCGAGTTTCTGTTTGTACCCATTATTGTCGCGAAATATATTATTTTTCCCTCCGCTAACAATGGCCGCTCGAGCTAAAAAAAAATTTCTGGCGAAGCGATTTGCTGACGCTATCAGAGGGCACTACTGGGATTTTGAACACGCTTACGTATATTGAATTTGATTGCGCGGTTCTGCTGGCTATGTTCTAATAGTAAATAAAAGAAGCTTTCGCAATTTTTGTATTGATAGTCACGCGCGAGCCTTTCACACTACTGGACAAGATAACAAAGTGCGTGAAGCTTCTTTTGATACTCTTATTGGTTTCTGAAAAATTCTATTTTGGAAGTTAGCCGATGGGAAATATTTCGGTTCTTGCCTCGCTCCGAGATGTCACGAGAAAAATTCTCCAAAATTCGTAAGAGCCTCACACACTTAGCTGTGCCGATAGCTGACTAACATTCTGGTCACTTTTCATGGAAATCCAACAAGTCTACATACTCTTTCAATCTGTTTACGATGAGGTAACTCGTGTAAAAACAAACCTCGATCCTCAAAACCTTTCGTACCTCATGCACGTGTCATGCCGCCGACCAATGAGATCCAACATCGAACCCCTGAGCAAGTCCGGTGACAAAGAACTCCTTTGAAATTTGCGGGAAAGGTCATTTCGCGAAACGGGGAAAATAAATTTACACTAAATGGATTAACGAAATCCAAAAATTTATCGGGATATAAACAGATGGAAAAGTGGGCAATACAGGCTAGGGAAAAAGAAAAATCAAACTTCGATTCTTTCGAAACAAGTATGTGTTCGTGACAGCCGTCTTTGAAGCCGACCATAATTGCCGATCTGTCTTCAGTTTTTACGTCACACCTATTTAACATAATCGTTTTGACCGCGCGTTGGATGGGGACACTAATTTTAAATACAGCTATCAACCAGAAAACTCAGTAAAAAATTTCGTGTTTTAGACATTTTACTGCTCTCTCCAACTAAAGAGCGAAAAAATCCCGAAATTTTGAAAATTTTCGCCAGAGTTTGTTAACAGTAACCTTCAAAGTTTAGGTCTGACTAGGATAAATGTTTTAACATTAAAATGACTTTCCTTGACATACATTGTATGTGTGGTACAGTTTAGACTGAAGTGCCACTTCCACTTCTCATCAGCATCTCTTTTGTGGTTAGGTAAAGCCGGATGACACAGTATTACAAAACGCATTATTTCTTCTGTATGCTATTTCTTTTTTGTTTTTCAGTGATCTTTCTCTCCGGGAGAAAAGAACTTAAGATTTACTTAACTCATCTGGGTATCCTCTATTCTTTAACCGTATTTTGAAACTACGCTTTTGAGTTAATTAATTAGAAAACAAAACAAAACTCTATGTTAGCGTATAGAATGGTGTGTTTTGGTGTTGTGTAATCTAATCTGCGCAATTTGGCGTATCTCTAAGCAGTCTGATTGGTGCATTTTGTTTTTTGGTGTATCTTAAAGCAATGTTATTGGCGCAAGTTTTGGTGTATCACAAACCAATCAGATTGTAGTATTTTTCGATGCCGCACAAATCAGAGCGTTCTTGCAAATTGTGGTTTGACAGGTCTTCAAATTTCAGCGAATCAACGCGTGACTCGGGGAGAGCGGATCGCGAACTAAGGAAACGTATTAGTTGTGTTGGGAAAGCGGTGGAGTTGTGATCGTTGTACGACTATGGTTATTCTTCGTTCTAAAGGAGACTGAGTGGAATATGAGAAACATTTTGAATCAAACATTGCTTGAGACGTTGATGGGAGCAACTTTCCAATACCCGGCCCCTATTGACCGCTATGAATGGATTGCTCCTACGGTCCCGATGTCGAAAAATAACTTTAAAAGAGAGGACATTTAAGGTTACTTCCCACCTACAGAGGCCAAAAAAATGTTTTTTTTTTTTTTTTTATTGGACTAGATTGAAGCTAAACATTTTCCTAACATTTACAAAAAGAAAATATTTAAAATCTCAAAAAGCGTCCGACTTATTTAGGAAAACGTATTCTTAAATAAAATATAATAAATCAGGAGGGTGTCATAATCTTGTAAATGGGCGAACCCTCTGGGTGAATATTCGCGGCAATTTCATGTTATTTTCGTGTTTTGTTTACATCGCGCACTTGAAAAAATTCTCACGTGAAAGTTCTCTGCTAGTGGAAAGTCTTTTCTCATAAATGAAAAACAGAAATCAAAATCAGAGACGAGTCCCTGGGCAAAGAAAAAGAAAAAGAAAAAAAAATTAAAAAAACAGACCCAAAGAAGAAAGAAAAGGCAAAATTTTTGTCAGGCAAAATAAAATCAGTTCTGGTACCCCTCTCCACGCTGGCATCACAATTACGAACATAGAAGTCGCCATCAAATCTACCTTTGTCGTACGAAAGGTTAAAAACGAAGTTCCTTTCAATAAGCAAGTACCAGCCTTGATACAAGACATAGGTAATCGCCTCGAATCGTATGAAATTATGAATATACCTATCCGAGGGAACTCATTTCAGCGATAAGGGTATCACTTAAGCTGTCTGTCGATTCGCTGTTATGCTTTCCAGCAGTTTCTCCAGCTTTACCTTTGTCAATTTTGCCCATTATTCAACGTTCAACAGAGCGAGATAAAAAAAACGTGAGTGCTATGCGACACTTTTGTCATTGACGCCAGGTCCTGTCTTCCCATTGGTTTGCGGTTTCAGGAGGCGAGATAATTTACTGGTGTGGCGCTAGTTGTTTACAAACCTTTAGGAGCTAAAATCTCGCATTTGATTTTGAGAGGAATACACCCACTTCAAGCGAATTTATAGGGCATGTATGCTTGACCGATTTTCGTGAAATTTCGCCAAAACATTCTTGGGATAATGACGAACGAAAGTGTGTCAGGAAATTCTGATATTTGAAATTCTTTCAAACAACCAATCAGAATATCGGAAAAGCCTGACACACTTTTGTTGATTGATGCCTTGCGAATAAGACTGTGCAGCTATTTTTCTCGTGCTGCGGGATCCGATACCCTACAAATTTAATAGAGGCATCCTCGGTCGTTTCACGCCTCAGCGGCTCCTGATATTCCTTAAATGAAAAAATCGCTTAAATTATATTTTTATCGTAAACTGCATTTATTAAGCTTTCTTTTGATGTATAGTTTGTTAGGGTTTTCTTCAAACTAGCGCGCGTACGAGTTTTTTTTTTTCCCGAAGGACACCCGCGAAGGTGGGAAGTAACCTTAAACCAGAGGTCCCGCATTCAAGCTTTCCTGAAGTCGAAGAATGATGAAATGATATGGCCGTTAAACTAGTGCACCCGCAGTCCCTCGCTCATGAAGTCGAATAATGATATAACGAGAGGGCCGTTAAACTAGTGCTCCCGTAATTCCGCGTTTTTGAAGTCGAAGATAATTAAAGGAAAGGTAAAGTTTACCTAGTGTTGACGCAGTCCCGCGGTTACTTTATTTGGTTTTCTCGACTGAGGGATATTTCATTACTATGTATGAATTCCACTTGGAATTTCGATTAAAGAACGAGGTAGGAAGGACATCTACAATAATTGTAAGCCCATCTCCCAAGTGTAATGGCTGTCCTTCGTGAGGAATTTATCGCTATGATCTGTCAGGATTCGAAAGGCCGTCAGGGAATTTTTTCCACCAATCTCAGGTTAAAACGTGATGTTTTGTGTACCGCTCCTTCACTTTTAACGCACACACCGTCAGCCAAAGGCCTAACACGAATTTGGCAACAGAACGTGTTGTTTTGGAAGGGCTAGTTTTGCTGAATCTGCTAAAACTTGCGCAAGGCATTTGAATAAACCATAATTGATTGATAATCTTGTTTTTTCG